ACGGATTAATGGTAATTACATTGAACCTTATGGGAAAATTTGCTTCGGGTTGCAAACAAATCGGGTTGCGACCAGAGTCACGGAACGGATTAAATTTGTAACCCGAGGCACCACTGTATGTGGCTTTTATCAATTTCAGGTTCACTTTTGACCTTATCTCTAGACATAAATTATGGTGTAAACCTAAGAACTCTACTGTAGATAGGTACCTGCTTCTCCTTATTTATGAGCTGAATGAGAATTCTAGTTTAAAAGTTAGGTACAGTACGCAGGGACAATACACTAAAGAAATTGCTGTTAGCAGAGCAGTTACACAAAGATGTACTATATATTGGCACCATTACTATTTAATCTGTATATCAATTCTCTTGTAGCCAAGATAAATAATCTAGCTCACTGTCCTCCTAAATTGAAGGACAGATACACTGCAATCCTCCTATATGCAGATGATGCTATGCTGTTATCTCAGACGCTAATTGGTCTAAAGTGAGCTTTATAGGATCTAACTGCACATTGTACTGCAGAAGTAATCAAAATCAATTATGCTAAAACTAATGAATTAATATTTGCTACATGTCCTGAAATTCATGCCCGACAACTGAATAAGCACCTGATTGACCAAGTTAAAATCTTCAGGTATCTAAAGGTAGTGTTTCATGCATCTAGTAAATGCAGGGCACATATGGAATATGTTATCCAAAATGCATAGAAGTTAGCAATAGCCCTGCAGTCCTTTTACTACACTAGAGATGCATTATTCATACTTGCTGCGCTAAAAATATTTTCAGCCAGAATATGGGCACAGCCTTTGTTCAGAGCCCAACTGGAACCATACAGCTTCTTAACGCCTTTAGAGAGGGTGCAGTCATATTTCAAGCCCTGCAATGAGTTGCTAATGTGTTGTGCCATGAGATGGGTGTGACCAAAATTAAACCCATATTTGATCATGCATCTTCTCATATTGGTTAAAGTTACTTTTTTCTACCATGGGGTTAACACCTCTAATTTTAAGTGACAACTTCATTTTATCTTGAGGTAGGACATTGCATTAGAAGCTGAAGAACTATGGTTTAGTGCAATCCTGATGTTGGGATATCAGCATGCAGAGGCAATCCTTAAACAGCATGCCAAGGATTTGGAAGGCCTATCAGATCCAGCTTCCCAAAGATGTGTTCGTGGGCAGTCATTCACTTTTTTTTTCAAGCTGGTTAGATATCTAAGCCAAATAACAGTTCCCAAATTCAGAAGAGATGTAACCCTGGCAAGATTTAATGCCCTCCCAACAGCTGTTCTTGAGGGGAAATTAGGGGTATCACATTTGAACAAACATTTTGCTCTTGTGGTGGTGTTCCTGAAAATTAACCCATGTTAATAACACTCCATCTACTTGAATGTCCAGACTACCCAGATCAATTTTATTTTACAATTGTTACTATCTAATCAATATGATTTTATTTCTCTTAACATGGCTAAGTTTTACTATTTGTGAAATGTGTCAGATCTTGAGCACACCAGTTTTATATAGTAATTGGGTTTTACTGTATTTCTTGCTGTCTCACAAATTTGTTTTCTGGTTTTTGTTTGTTTTTGAGCTGGTCTATGACTGTAATAAAGAATCTAATAAAATGTTACATATTTATTTTTGTTAAAAATAACTTTGAGGCATAATTTCTACATTACGGTACATGATTTATATAGCACACCTAAATACTTTATTGAATCTGCTCTAAAATCAGTAATTTGGAAAGTGGGCATCCTGAATGAATATATTTAGTTGCATGTGACAAAGAGCTAGTTATTTATACTTGCACAGAAGCTTATTTATCATTCATAACTAAATATTGGCAAGCAGGAGTAAAATTGTGTCATGACTTGCTCACTGGCAACAGCTGCTAAGAGCTGTTTCTTCTTTGTTTTTTTAAGTTCCAAAGAACACTCCGGATAGTTAAAAGGCTAGAAATTAAAACAATTGAAACTAAAATTATTGATCTTTAAAAGTATGTCTAAAAAGTTATTGGCTCTTTTCCTCATATTAGAACTAATAGGAGCTAAATAATTCCTGAAGATTTGTGTTATTTTAGATTTTAAAATAAGCTCATTTTTTGTGTTGTATATCCTCTGAGCTTGAATGGTTGATGGTCGTTAAAAAAAACGAATCTAACTCTATTCTTAACATTTTAGGGAATGACCTACTTTGATATTTATTCTTTTCTCTTTAAATATACTTGATTACCTGGGGGAACTTTAGAGTTTAGTATATTCCTCTCACATTTTTGTTTGTATATTTGTTTTAGATGACTAGTTGTTTTGTACCTAATTATTACCAGTTGTCTACTCAGTGTTAATGTTATTAAGTGAGCTAAAACTTGCCACCTTGTCAAGTTTTATGTGCTGGTTAATATAAACATTGAAGGCCGAGTTTGAGGGATCTTATTTTGCAAATGCATAATCTTATAGGTAAACAAAGTATTACTTGGATTGTTTGGATAAAATGCAAATTCTGGTTGTTAAAAACCAAAATGAAGCTAATATTTCAAACATAATTTGATATTTCTAACATCCAAGGCAATAAGCTATATCAAATATATGTAGTAAAATATATTTCACCAATAGCTAGTTGATAGTGCATAAGATTGAGTTCAAAACTGAACATCTGAATATTGATAAAGTTTGTGTAAAGATGAGTTCTTAACTCAGAATGACCAGTAGCTTTTTATTCTGTGAGAAAGTTAGGTGTTTTAGAGGTTGCTATAACTTTGGAGCTGTTTACTGAAATATGCATTTAGAGTAGAAACACATCCTTTTTTGGGAGCATAGAAGGATCAAAGCAGATACATACTGTGGAGCATTCTAAGGAGACTCTATTGTAAAAAAGGGAGGGAGGGAGGGAGGGAGGGAGGAAGGAAGGAAGGAAGGAAGGAAGGAAGGAAGGAAGGAAGGAAGGAAGGAAG